ATATTGATATTTATCTTTCCAGTATTAGCTGACGGTTAATTATTCTGTATAACAGCCTGCACAAATTGCAGGATGTAAAACTATAGTTCTTGCGACTCCTCCAGCTCAGGATGGCACTACATGCAAGGTATTTGTCTATATTGTATGAAAATTATAATTTTGATGTTCTTCTTGTTCTGATCAATGTTTTCCTGCAGGAGGTATTGTATTGTGCAAAGAAGGCTGGGGTGACTCACATTCTCAAAGCAGGAGGAGCACAGGTTTGAAGCATGATAATATAACCCTTATCTGGTTCTGTATTATGAATCTAGTTTCCATATATTTAGCTGTATTTAATATATTTGTATCATTATTGTATAAATTAAACTATGGTTAATGTGTAGTTTTCTCCATTGTAGGCCATATCTGCTATGGCTTGGGGAACAGAAACTTGTCCCAAGGTGGCTAACTTCTCGTTTAACTCACCTCTCTTGTTGGCTTCTCTATTAGTAGTTGGATTGAGCTTTACTTCTTTCTTATTTATTTATTTATTTACTTTTGTATATCACTATATTCTATTCTAATAGCATTGCAAATTCATGAATAGATATTGTGAAACTCATGCATCCATCATAGGTACTTGAACTTCTCAGCCCCTATTGATAAGTTTAGTGTCTGGTTAATGATAACACAAATCTCACTTCCTAGTGAATACATGGTGACCAAGATGTTACATCCAAATTTTCTCGTATTGAAGCTGTAAATTAGATATTAAATAGATTATGTAATCTGGTGACAGAATAGTACTTAGGAATTAACCTTTTCTGTACTAACAGGAAAATATATTATGCTTTATAGTTTATGTATTTTATCCATCATTTTTAATTGTGAATTTGTGATGAAACTTTCACAGGTTGAGAAGATTTTTGGTCCCGGTAACCAATATGTCACTGCTGCAAAAATGATACTTCAAGTAAGCATGTTTATTTTACATTAATATATCTGAATTTGTGTATCCACTATTGCATTTCATACTTTGAATTGTAAATCTTCTGCTTTTCTTCACTTTTCTAAATTTCTGCAGAACAGTGAAGCCATGGTTTCAATTGACATGCCAGCTGGTCCATCCGAAGTTTTGGTCATTGCAGACAAGCATGCAATTCCTTCTCATGTAGCTGCTGATTTGCTTTCCCAGGTTTAATGAGTTTTAAAATGCACCTATTTGCGTTACAAACATTATTCACTAGTTCTTCACATTCATAATGAAAATTGGTTATCTTTCTTTTACATCCTCTTAGAAAGGAAACCTGTGTTCTAGTGTAATTTATGCATTACTCTAAAAGCTTATAGTTCTAGTTTCTACATTATAATGTTAGTTCTCCAAAATTAAATATAGGATGAATTCGTAATATGCGCGCCATATAGGAGATAATTACTAATTGAATATTAATCAGTAATATCTAGAAAGCAACGAAAAATATAAAGCAAGGAGATGGGGAACAGAAGCATTTCATTTGTTGGTTTAGAATCTGATATGTTCAGATTTCTCTTAAGTTGACATCGCATGCACAAATATACTTGAGCCACTAACTGGAACACCTTTCTTCAACTAAGGCATAAAACCTACAAAAATCTGCCTGCCATGCTGACTAGAACAGAATTATGAACAGTACCCAATATAAAAAAAGTTTAATATAATGCTCAAAGTTTCAAATGGACACAGCTTCACCATCATACCACCAAATTATGACTTGGGGTTGATAAATCTTCTCCCTTTTTGTTCTGCCTATACACTTCCAAGTTGATTCCTATTCTGTTTGGTTTTCTTGTAAGTTGCTGATATCTATGCACCTAATTTACAATTTTTCAGGCTGAGCATGGCCCTGATAGTCAAGTTGTTCTTGTGATTGCTGGAGATGGTGTAGATCAGAATGAGATACAGGAAGAACTCAGCAAGCAGTGCCATAGTCTTCCAAGAGGCCAGTTTGCCTCTAAAGCACTGAGCCACAGTTTTATTGTATATGCACGTGATATGCTTGAGGTCAGTCCTGTTGTCCAAGTTTCTGTGTGTACCCACTAACAGCAGAGCGACTAGGTAAGAAGTGTAAGGTAGAGAAAGGGAAAAACAATTTCTTTGGAATCACTAAAACAGACTGTTAGGCTTCTGTGTCTGTATTTATACATGCACAGCAAATAGGGTTACACATAACATAGATTGTACTTGTGTCCAAGGTGCTTTTATAAGTTTATTGTTAGAGAAAATCAAAAGAAGAGTATGAATAGGAACGACTAACTCATTTTGTTAGTTTCCTCGTGTCTATATTTATACTGAAAAATAAAGATCGGTAAAAGAAAGATAGGTCCAACCCAGTTATACAAAATAACCTATCAAGCACTTATATAAATAACTATTCTCTAATATTTACGTTGCATGAATGTTGGTCTAATCTCTTGATATGTCAGGATTCATAACTTTCTTTGGAAGAATATGAAATTTGGCCTTAAATTATTCATTTATTTTTATATATATTTTAATCAATTAATGGTTTATACTTGAGTCCTAATCCTTGTTCTCAATCCATCAATATTCTTGTTGGAGTTTCAGAAGTAAAAGTTATTTTTGCATCTTCCAGGCTATCACTTTCTCAAATTTATATGCACCTGAGCATCTAATTATCAATGTGAAGGATGCAGAGAAGTGGGAGAGTTTTATTGAGAATGCAGGTACAAGTCTATGAATTTTTCTATTGTTGCTCCCTTTTTTAAAAAATAAAAATAAAAATAAAAATACTTTTGTGTCTAGTCACAGATACTTTTGTCTGCAATCTTAGAGGATGCAATTACTGTTAGAGAACCTCATTTTGTATCCTTGATTGCAATTCAAGAATCCTAGATTTAAATACTTGTCAATTGCCTCTACAGGTTCTGTGTTTTTAGGACCATGGACACCTGAGAGTGTTGGTGATTATGCAAGTGGGACAAACCATGTCCTTCCTACTTATGGATATGCAAGAATGTATGGTGGTGTGTCATTGGACTCCTTCCTGAAGTACATAACTGTGCAGTCTCTCACAGAGGAAGGTCTAAGAAGACTTGGGCCATATGTAGCAACCATGGCTGAAGTTGAAGGTCTTGAAGCCCATAAGCGAGCTGTTACCTTAAGACTTCAGGACATAGAAGCCAGGCAGGTTCCAAGATGAGATGATGCACCTATCCATTGTTCTCTTTATCTCTTGCAATTTGCTAGTTCTTAATTCATGCCAAGTCTAGAGCCATTTTGCTTGATGAGATTACCTAGATTTAGGTGGCATTAGTAGCTAAGCAGTTGCCATTTCAAGTTTATGTAACAATAATGGGATTTATATTCTAGAATAACAAATAACAGTTACTAATGCTTTTATTGCTTAAAGAGGCGAATATTAAGTGATTTACTAAAGTTTATTAAATGGAAAAGGATATTGCTATTGGATGCTTTTGGGCCTGTGGGAACCTTGAATGCATTCCATCTGGCTTTAACATCGCTCATAATTCCAAGTCTTCATATATATCAATATAGTTTGTTCTAACTCTTTTTTATGGGAAAACATTTTTTCATGTCGTAGGAGAGTTGTTTTCTTCTACTAATAACTTTTTGATTTTCGTGCAATATTTTCTTTTGTTTTTTATTTTTTTAATAAATGTGGGTCCCACATAAGATGTGTCTACAACATGAGAATTTTTTTTCTTATCGCATGAGAAAATCGAAACCCCTTTTTTATAGCCACCTTCTTGTACAACACGATGGTTTTGGACAGATTTTAACTTGATCACTTTATTGTTATAAAGAAAAGTATGAGCCAACCTTGCTCTTTTTGACAATTAAATTGCTTAAGATTCATGTTAAATATTTTATATTTTGCCCTAGACTTGAATTATTAAATACATTAGTGTAGCTTCTTTCACTAACTGGTCCCCGTATGACTGGCTCCATCAATTAAAAAGTGAAAACCATTGCCCACCAATTCGGACCACTTTTTGCGGCATTGTAATTTCAACTTGCGAGAATTCAATCATCAAGACTAAGATATAACGTGTTCATATTTATTTAAAAAAAAACCTTAGGTTTCAATCAATTAGAAAGTTGATGGAATATTATTTAATGTATGTGATTAATGCCACTCACTTCCGAGTTCAAGTCCACTTATTTATTTATTTATTTATTTTTAAAATATTCCAATCGGTTAATCGTTCCGCGACTAGTCTGATTTGGGGCGGGTCTCGAGATGAAGGCTTTAAATTCCTCCCAAATATGATATTGGGGAAAGTCAAATACATACTCTTCCTTCCACTTGTTTAGTTCCTTGACGCCAACTGAGTTACCATCATTTAGTAATTTACTTATTTTTTTGTTAATATGGTTAAATCACCTAGTTAATTTTTCTACTTGCAATAATAACATGACTTAAGAGTTTAAATTTAAAAATCGACAGTTATTATTAAGGAATTTATGATTAAAAAAATTCATACCGGTATAAAGTTTTGTTAAAGTTATATATTATTCACTTTTTGTTTTATAATGGGTCTTGATTAGGTAGGCTTCGGATATAGCTCTTTCCATCTTTCCTAGGAGTTGCAACTCTCACCAATAACCCACTATTATTTGAGTATGTTAAATCTTGAGTCCAATTAAGTGGCACACAAACACCACTATAGATCAATACAATTTTTTAAATTTTTTTTCCCTCGTGGTGTTAAGTTTAAACTTGACCTCCTTATGTAAGCCAAGGGGCTTCTAGTAGTTGTTCCAATGTCTTTTCAAATGGGAAATGGGTCCTTCCGAGTCATTTCTTGCTATGACTCGTTCATATTATGACACATATCACTATTATTAGTCCAACAACAATTGCACTCAGTCCAAGTTAGCGTGTTTTCTAGGCACTACAAGTACGCGTGCTCAACTATGTTGTGTCCTTCATCCACCACTTACACATATGCAGCAAATTAAGAAAAGAGTAGAGTAGAGGATCGATCAATATTCTTCTATGGCATTGGCAGAGGCTGCAGGTGAACAACGTCAGAGGAAACTTACACGTGTACTTCTCATGTGCTTTTCTGCACCTTTATGCAGAAAAGATCAACAACTGCAATTGGTACATGACGAGGATGTCACTGTGAAGAGAAGAAGAAGCAGAACTTCCACTGCTGTGGATGAAAAGCCTCTTCGAAAAATCGCTGATGCATTCGAAGAACTTGCAAACGTTGTCAGTTCCGAGAGCTCAGTCGTCGAGGTTGCTGCTTTCTCACGTGCATGCTTTTTCGTGGCTCCTCTTTTTGGTTGCATCGGTTTCCACTTCAAGTTCATAGAGATGGATTACGTTACTAAGGTACGTACTACACTAACTAATAATAACAATACCCTAATTTTGTGTGTGTGTGTGGATATAGACAATACCCTACATTTAAATGTGAATGAAAAGGGGTTTAAATCCTAATTTTTAGTGTTGAAGCGGGATAATTGTCACGTTGTTTGATTCAGCATTAGTCTTATAGCTACTTTCCCTACTCACATTATAGAGATATTTGAGAAACCTGACTAGCTCTAGTATAATAGTTTAAACTTTTGGATTGAATTGGTTCTTTACATGGTATCTATGCTGGACCTATGCATCATCCAACTTTCAAGCCAATGAGCTCTCTTATGAGGGGATGTGTTAGAGTATAATATACACCGTTAAAGAGGTCCACACCCCATAGTTTAAGCTTTTGTGTTGAATTAGTTCTTTACACGCTCTAATCGCTCTAAATGAGTAATTAGGGTTATGGAATCCAAATATATATATGTGTGTGTACTATGCTGGACCTGATGCATCATCCACCTGTTTTACGAAATTTTGTTTATTTTTTTTATCATATACATTTTACGGAAACACTCTTCATTAATTCATCTAAAACTATAGAAACACCCTTCATTAATCAAAACGACATAGTTTTTGGGTAGCTGTAAATAACCTTATCTAAATTGGCTGTAGAAATGTTTATCCCTATATATATATATATATATTTATGGCTTATCATTTCTCAAGTTGCTTAACTCTATCTCTTGCTACTAAATCATAACCGTACAAAGATTGATCAATGATGATAAAAGAAGAGGGAGAAAAGGTGTATCAATCAATATAAGAAAATAAATAAACAAAACGACATAGTTTTTGAGTGGACGGAGATAAATATATCTCAAGCTGCTTGAGAAATATTTTTCTTATATATATAACCCTATGATGCACATATAAGTAAACAAATTAAAATTTGGTGTCGAACCCAATTATTATTTGTTTTACTTAACTCATAATTGGCAGTCACTTGTTCTGACTATATGATAATAATTTGACTGGACCGAATATTATTTGGTGATGTATTATTTTTCAAAAGCATTTATAAATTTAACATCTTAAGATTTTAAATTAAGATATGTAATACGGGCTCACTTATTATGTTTAAGTTTCTTAGTTAGTCCGTTATTGGAGTTCTCTCCTGTTTGGGATCCCCATTCGTTACCTGGGTGCTTCATGTATATATGTCACATTTTGATATAATGATTCAGTTTAATTACTTTGTTTTGTTATGATGACAGGTTAATGATATAGCAGAGGCATCAAAGTCGTTCCGGACCTTACAATCTATGGTTGATAAGGATGTACAAACTAATTCTGTGAGAAAACAAGGGAGCCATTCGAGAAATCTTTTGAAAATAAAACGTGGACTTGACTTTCTAAGGCTGCTCTTTGAGCAAATTCTACTCACTGAGTATGTTGACCTCATATATTCCTTTTTCCCTCACTAGTGTGACCTGTCACCATTGCATATACTGGGAAAATAAAATAAGTTTTTCACACATACTCATGAGTACTCTCACACATTCTCCTCACTTTTTCTTTTCTTAACTTATAAAACTACATACTTTTTTTTTGTTTACATTTAAAATTAAATACTTTTAGTACGTGTTTGTGACTTTTAGTACTCAATTTGTTAATTTTATATTATTTTAAAAAGATAATATGAAAGTACACAAGTGGTTTCCTTCTGTCCGAAATCTGTGTGCTAAAGTGGGTTACAGATATGAATACATATTTAAATTAACAAAGAATTGTTTTCTATAATTAGTAAATGTTTCTTATGCACTAGAACCATAATGTTAGCAGTGATAGTATATTCAGTTCATATGTATGTTTTGGCAGGGGAAATTCCATTAGAGATGCAGTTTCCAAGGCTTACACACAAATATTCAATTCATATCACGGTTGGGCTCTCAGGAAGGCCGTTTCTGCTAGGTTACATTACCTCCCTACTAAGCAGCAGTTGTATAAGAAACTCAATGAAGATGGTAAGTATAACGAGAAAGTGCTTGCAACTTGTAATTAACTAGAGTTGGTTGAAGTGTTTGAAAGTAAAAAAAATTTGTTTTCTGAGGTTCAGGCATGTTAAATACTTTATTTTTGTTTTACCCAAAAAAATAAAAAATAAAATTACAATTATATCATCCTCGTTACCAAGTTAGCATATACATGTCACAGGTTTATTAATATCATGTTATGATGTTTTTTTTTCTTTTTCTTTGATGTCTTGTGCTCCAGAGTCTGCAGCAAGGGTCCTAATGCAGACTTATGTTTCGGCATCAGCACCTCTACTTCTATACATTGACAAAATCTTTCTTCAAAGAGAATTGGGCATAGATTGGTGAACCTTCTATTTAAATTGTACAATGCAATCCTCTATATTGATGATGGGTTGAAATGAACTGGTCGTGTACTTCCGAATGAAGGGGTTTTAATTGATTTGAATAATTAGCCAAGTATTTTGGATTTGTTATTTGTTTGGAATCTTTTTGAAAGAAAATAATTCCTTTGGCTTATAACAAAACTATTCACAATAGATAACTAGCAAAAAGTAAAATAGAGGATGTGTAAAATGGGGGAATATTTCATCTCAGTTCCTGTGCTTTACATTATACAAAACAATCCTCAAACTATGAAAAAAACAAAAAACAAAAAACAAAAACCTATGCTTGAAGGACGCCAGCTATTAACATTTGAATTAAATATATCACTCGGTTGGTGTATACGTCTAGAAATCTAGAAGTTTCCAATATAAAAACCAAAGAAAAATTAGTCATTTTTCCCCCTACTAGATTTTCCCTGTAACTATTCATATAAGAATGGAGAATTCTATATAAAGAGAAATTACTGGTTCGTCTTTTCCACACAAATTCGTTTATCTTTGCTAGGTCAGAAAATGGGAAACCCATGACTAAGATGATGAATCTTGTATGGGCTTGCAACAGACCCTTTTGGGAATTAAATTATCAAAATCTGTAAGAAAAGAGATTCATAACAGAAAGAAACGATGCCCTTCTTCACAGAACTCCCAAGTCCCAATGCAGGAAAACTTGAGTTTGTTACCCTACCAACATGTTATTTTTACCATTTCTGGACCATGTTATAGCCCCCGCACTTGAATCATCATATCTGGTTGCAACCAAGTTCATCACATGGCCATAATCAAATAGATCTTCACCTCAGCTACACAGCTATATATTAGACAGCATCAGAAGAACCCTGAAAAAGCCAATTACAAAAATTTTCTGGCTGATATGGACGTGCAATAATTATTCTGTTTCCTCTGTCATCTTAAAGGGCTAACAACCCATCCTGTAATTGGGTTCTGCCTGCGAAATCTCAACTTCCCGCGTTCACCACTTTGCAATCGTTCAAGCACTGTGTATGTAATTGAATCTGGTGTCAATCCTTGCTGCTTAAGTTTTGCATAAAGGTCCACTGCCTCGGCTGTTCTTCCACACCTTTCAAGACAATCAAGTAAAATATTATATGTGACTAAGTTAGGAGAGCATTCTTCAGCAAGCATTTCATCAAACAACCTACAAGCCATCTCAACTTTATCTGTCTTGCCAAAGCACTCAATAAGTGTACTATAAGTTACAACATCAGGATTTAATCCTTTCTCTTGCATCTCTTTAAACCTCATGTGAGCTTCATCAACATCCCCATTCTTCCCAAGGCAATTGATCAAACAGTTATAGGAAACAACATCAGGCTGACAATTGCTATTCTCTAGTTCTTCAAAAATTTTAACAGCACTGTCAACTCTTCCAGCCCTGCCAAAGCTGGAGATCAGAATATTGTACGTAAATATGTCTGGTGGAGGTCCATCTTGTTTCATCTTTTCATAAAGATCATGAATATGTGATATCTGTTTCAACCTGCCAAGAGCTGTGAATACTGTATTATACATGATAGTATCAGTGGTTATACCCTTTTCATGAATTTTATTCAGAAGGTCTATAGCTTCTGTCAATTTACCAGCACTGCATAGACTCTCCAACATGGACATGTAAGCATCCCTATCACCCTTGTCATGAAAGTTCCACATGTTGCAAAATAGCCTATGCGCTTCAGAAGCATGACCTAATTTGCTTAAAGTCCTTACAAAATAAGCATATATCTGTTTATTCATATATTTCTTTGATAACTCCACAATATTGTCAAGCTTATTAAGTTTCCCTTCAGCAACCAGAACATTCAAAAGCACACAGTACGTAAATTCATTAGGCTGACAATCATTCTCCACCATTTTTGAGAAGAGCAGGACGGCCTTGTCAACCATCCGGCCCTTTGCAAGTGCCTCAATCATAGTATTATAAGCAATCAAATTAGGAGTGCAGCCCTTAGCTAACATTACCTGAAAAAGTGCCAGCGACTCATCAGTTTTGCCAGATTTTCCCATCATTCTGATCATAATGGTGTAAGTGAACACATCAGGCTCGCAATGCCTCCGCTTCATGTCCTCAAAAACTTTACAAGCTTCATCCACCTGCCAAAATATTTGGATATATACGATAACTGATAAACATGATCAATAGAAGTAAAACGAACTTTTCAAAAACAATTTACAACTCAATTAGTTGTTCATCAAAATGACCCAACCAATTGTGCTACACACTATCCAAAAGGGTGCTGCAAAATCCAATTCCAAATCATTGGGGAAAAAAAATGCAATGCAAACCTTATCATCCTTGGCCAAAGCATCCAAGAGCATATTGTAACCAAAAATGTCCAACTTATAACCACGTCTTTGCATCTCCAAGTAGACCTGAAAAGCCTTAGTTGAATCATGTGATCTCAAATATGCCTGAAGCAAGCACTTGTAGGTGTAAGCATTGAGCCTCAACTCCCATTTCTTCACCAACCCAACACACATCTCCAAATCTTCACCGAAGAACCCGATTAGGATATTAACGGTGGAGATTGATCCACGAACGCCGCGCCGGTCCATGTCGTCGAGGAGGGAGCGAGCCTGGTCGAACCGAAGAGGGGAAGTTGACTTGGAGAGTATGAGGAGGAGGCGGTTATAGGTGAAGGACTCGTGTCGGAAATTGGGGGAAAGGGAGGGGCAAAAGTGGAAGAATCTGAGAGCGAGGGAAGGGTTTTTGAGGGCTTTGAGGATTTCTGAGGCTTCGAGAGGTGTGAGTGTGAGGGAGAGAGATTGGAGGTAATCTGAGAGGTCGGAGAAAGGGTCGTCAAACGACGGCGAGGGTTTGTGGTTGTTGTTGTTGTGGTGGTGGCGGAGGAGGATTTGGGTGGCTTTGCAGATGAGGTCGCGGCGGGGGAGAGGGTAGCCTCTGACGTCGAAGGGGAGTGGAGGTGGTGGTGTAACCTCGGCGGAGAGGGAGAGTCCGGTGGGGGAGGTGGAGGTGATCTTGGCGGTGTATTTGGTGCCGAAGTGGCGGCGGAGATGGAGATGGAAGTGACTGGGCTTCATCATTCATGAGATGAATGGGAGAATGAATGTTGAGTAGTTCTATTCTATGATATATACACTTAATTTACTTGTACTACACTATACTACACAACACGACACTAGTTCTCCATGGAAGAAGAGTTGCTCAGTGTTCCACTCATCTTCCAAATGTTATGTACATTCTGGGTTCTGTTTATTGGATGCCAAACATGAACGTTTACTTGTACTCATTGGTTTTGGTTTCGTGCCTATGTTTATTGGGGTTTGATGTTGGTAAAAAATGAGTAATTTCTTTAATTTAAATTTTAAATAAAAATATATTATTTTTTTATCTTTCTATCATTTAAATTGAGATAATTTTATATTTTTTTAAAAGATAAATATTTTTTTCATATTTATTTGAATATTTTGGTTATTTTTATTTTATTTTAATAAAAATATAACCTATTAATAATTAAACAACCATAAAAATCTAATTAAAAATGTTTATTTTTATGTATCTTAAAATTATATTATATCAAAATTGTATTATATCAAAATTGAAATATATTAATAAAATATTTAATAATTTTAGATTAATATATATTTTATAATATAATTTATATGATAATTACTTGCAATTTAACTGTGAATTTTAAAGATAAAAATTATCTAAAAGCGATATAAATCATAGGGAAAACATTAGAGAATATTGTCTATGGCTCTATGCCACAGAGTGAAAAAAGATATTTGGTTGAGAAAAAAAATATAATGGGATTTACTATATATATATATATATATATATATATATATATATATATATATATATAGGCAGGATCATTTGACAGCAGTGTCAAATTTAAAATTTGACACCTCATCTGAGAGCCTCATCTCTGATCTTTTTTGATCTAATGGCTCTCAGATAAGGTGTCAAATTTTAAATTTGACACTGGTGTCAAATGATCCTACTTCATATATAAATATATATATATGAGTCAGGATCCTTTGACACCGGTGTCAAAAAAAAGTTTGACACCTCACCTGAGAGCCGTTAGATTAAAAAAAATCAACGATTCTGATTTGTAAGCATGTGACACCATTGATTTTTTTTTAATCTAACAGCTCTCAGATGAGGTGTCAAACTTTTCCTTTGACACCGGTGTCAAAGGATCCTGCCTCTATATATATATATATATATATATATATATATGGGACAAGATCATCTTACATAGGTATAAGAATAATAAGTCTTACAACAAATCTTAATCTTTAATTTTCTATATCTAACGGTTAAGATTTATTAGGTCTCATTAATTAATTAATTTTTAATTCTCAACAAATCTCAACCATTAGATGTTCGGAAATCAACGGTTAAGATTTAGTGTATGATTTATTATTCTTACACCGGTGTAAGTTGATCCTATCCCTATATATATATATATATATATATATATATATATATATATATAAAGAGGTTCACTCTTGATTGTCTTTATGACAGATAAAAACGATGTTATTTTGAGACGAAAATCAAGATATTTTGTAATTTTAATTTATTATAGGGCTATAATTTATAACAGTATTTATTATTATAATTTTTTAATCTTTCATCTTCAAAACGATGTCATTTTGAGTTGAAAGGTTAAAAAATTATAATAATAAAGACTATTATAACTTTGAAATAAATTATAATTACAAAAAATCTAGATAATTTATCTGCATTGACTACAAAAAAAAAAAAAACCATAAAACATAATATTAAAATTCATCTATTGGGATAACATTTGCTAATTTAGTGTATCATTAAATTATTTATTAACAAAAGAAAAGAAAAAATGTTAATATTAATAACTCATAAAAGATTCATTAATTAGACTAAAAAAATTCACACCCACAATTGCTATATTATTGCCAATTAATTTGCTATTTTAATATTAATTAAGTTGAATCAAAACAATCAAATAAATATGAATCATAATTATTTTAAAAATATAGCTTACGTAGATAAAATTAATTTTTATTTCCATCCATTAATTAAGGTTAAATATAATATTATGAAAAAATTTATAATATAAAATAATTTTAGGCGAAAAATAAAATACATTAATGTCATGTGACATGAGACCAATATTAAAAAAACTAATTTGATAACAAAAACATTTATAAAACCAACGCAATAACATGTTAATAATCAAAAAGTAAATTGTTGAGTTTATTCTTAATTCCATCCCATTAACTACTAAAAACGAACCATTGATTAGATTCGAGATAGAGCATAGAAGTCAAAAACCATTCACATGGAGAACAGGAGGACAATGTCAAAAAATGGTGAGCAGACAATTTACAAACAGGAAGGCACAGGATGCAACGGCTCTGAAATTATTATTGTATATAAAATTACAATATTATAACTAAAAATAATTTCAATCAAAGTGTTAACCGCGGGGTACACATTATTGTAAACGGCTGCAATAATCATACAACTATCCAAGCCCTGATCAAACACGGGGTAAAGTATCCATGCTACCCATTTAAACAACGTCGGTCCAATAATCCCCCATTTTGTAGACGCGAATCCTGACCCAACTAGTTTCCATTACCAGATATTATGAATATAATTGGCTACACCGATCCATTAAACACCAGAAACTAATTCTTCAACAACAATAATGTAATCATGCACATTGATTAGAGGCACCTATAAAAAACCCCTAATCACAAGGTTCAAGGCAGACCGGTCCTCCTTGGTTGGTTCGAAAGATTTGTCTTGGTATGATTCCATGCCCCTAATCAAGCTTGACATTCGAATAGAGAAGTGTGTCCCTCGTGAGTGGCATGTTCAAGAGGTAATATATCTGCCAGCAAACATACAAATTAGTAAATATTTGTGGTCATGATCAAATCTCAACATTAACTATCCACCATTGCATCATTAATGACGGATTCTATAGGAACTATATACGTAATTAGACTATCCAACAGATAGTCCCTATTCGTCATCCCTTTCAAAGAGATCCCCCTGACACCAAGGGCTAATTGAGTACCCTCTTTTAAGAATTAAAAAGAAAAAGAAAAAAGAAAAGAAAAAGAAAAACACAATCCTTGGCGTTAATCATTTGATCCCTTTGGGTGGGCCTCCACGTCTAGGACCCAGTCACTGGCACCCTGACCGAGTGACATATCCATAGGATTTAACAAAAAAGAAAAGGTTTATACTAAAAAACTAACTAATAATTTTGATACTTGCATCCATTGTCCAAACAAAAGAATCATTCAAACACAACAAGAAACTAACACTAGAAGTTTAGTCCTGAGTAAGTTCTCAAATAGTTGCTAAGAAAGGCTACTCCCCTGCTCCAATCAAATATTAAGGGAAAAAAGGAACAGTTAAAGTAAGAAAGCAGAAATTGATGAAAAAAACTCTTCCCAGAATTGTCTTCCAACATTTAGCTAGATCTCAATGACAAATATTTCTAACCACACAAAAAAGGTGTTTCTTTTAAAATTTTCATTTTTATTTAATTTATATTCCTAGAATGATTATTTCACCCACTTACCCCCATAAGAGTTGAAATGAGCAAAATTATTCCTGTTATCCAAGCAAGGGTTCTCCTAACCAGCACCACTTCTGGACCTGTTGCATTCAATTCTTTTGTTTCTTCCAACCATCGAGCAGTATGGTGGGGAGTAAAGATCACATCAAACTTCTTGCCCGACTCTTGAGGAATGTTTGTATGACAGTAGATGATTCCAACAATTTGACCTGCTCAGTCATTGACCATTTAGATGTTAAATGAAAGCAAATGAACTCTTCAGACCAATAAAATTGACATCTGAAGAAACAAAAGATCAGCTGAGCGTTTGCTACAGACATTTGACTATGTTTTTCATACTAAAGCAAATCAGTACCACTGTTGTAGTGCTTTAATTTAAAACCATACAGCAATTATTTAAGCCTGACAAAAATAGACCTTTATATGCTTCTTGCAGTGAACCAAATATCTTTGTCAAAGTTGCAAGTAGCAATTCAACTCCATGCTGAGCAATGCTTTCATTTTCATATTGCTCTTGCAGAGCCTGCACATTAATAGTCAATAAGCCAACTACAATCCATGTACAACAACACATTGCAGGTAAACGTGAAAAAAAATATGTCCTGAACTACAACAAAACTTTGTTCTATATTATTGGTTGTATTACAAACTATATAACATGAGTAATGTCTATTATCTCTAGTATGCAATATTACTTTTGTTTTCTTTAAACATACGTGTAACAAAAGAAATAAAAGAAATAAGGGAATCAATGCTCCTTTTGTCAGGGTACTGAAATTACAGATTAAAGATTCACTACGTGGGAGACTCTGTCATAAGAAAAGAAAAAGAAAATGACGGAGGAAGAAAGTTGCACACCTTAATGCCATCGAAATATCCTGTTAGCAACTCAGCTGGACTTTGTGTGCTCTGTGATAAATTGTCATGCATTTGAATTGCCCTTTTGACATTGCGAGTGAGAGACAAAAGACCTACAATGAACTTCCTTTCTTCCTTCTGCAAACACAAATACATAGACCTCCCAATCAGTCTTAATTCACAAATAAGTAGAAAAATATACCCTAAAATCTTCCTTATACCTTTGACATATGGAGATTCAGCGTGGCACCATTTGCCAATGGAATGGTAAGCACTCCATTTAATGGCTCAAGGGCATCAGTAGCATATGATCCACCTATCAAAGACGACTAAGAAAACAAAGACAAAGTCATTTTTACATATAACACAATAATAAAATAATATGGAGATAGCTCATAGACATGTATAACACAAATCAAAACTGACAAAATCACTAATTTCTTTGTCGGTGCAGTCTTCCAATTGCTCATCCAAAGAAACCACGGAAACATCACTTTCATCTGCATGAATTAAAGAAACAATGAAAAAAGAAAAGCCTCTCACAAAAAATTATGACAAAATCATATTGGTAGTGCCTATAACCATTTTCATTATATTCTCTTTCTTTTCTAAACACATGAACTGTACAAAGTCTCACCTGGAAGTTGAATGTCAACTTTATCTGAACCAATAAAGTTCGGACTCCAAAATGAATTGCCAAACATTGCATTATCTTGGACAATTTTTTCAAGACCTGCATTCATAATACATTATTATTATTGTTTATGAAAAAGAAAAGATATTATAAATATCAATTATTATACTTAAAAAAGCAAGGCAAGAGACCATTGATTCCATTCACTTCCAGCAAAAACACAGCACGAGGCCTATTGAATGGATTAGGAATCAGAATCTCATTCAACTGCAGAAAGACATAACATTATCAACAATCAAACCTATAACTAAAGTATGATGCAAAAATAAGGTAGTGAAGACTGAATGTCAGTAATGATTTCAAGGACCTTGGATGAGCTGGCAGCTGAAAGGGTCAAAGGAGGTGCAAAACCAAGCAAGATTGACACAGCAGCACCAACTTCCGGAAGCAACATTGAAGGATGCTGCAAAGTGAAATATTATAATACCATATTACCATCCAGTGAGATCATTATTATTGATTTTTACTATTACAACAGAGTGCAGTGATCTCATTAGTGAAACTAAGGGGAACATAGAAAGAATGAAAATGGTGAGAACATTTAACCTTAGCTCCAATAAAATCAATCACTCCCAAGATGAACAAAGGTGAAGAGAAAATTATAATATAAGCCTACAGTAATTTCAATTAAAAAATTGCCAGTCTCACGTATCATTTAAAAATTCTAGTAACCATTGAATAAGTAGTTTTACAAAACAGAAACAAGAGAAGAAAAAAATTATCTCCTACTTCATCATTTTCATTGCCTGTGTTTTCATTCTCCCGTCTCACCATTTTCTTTTCTTCCCCATTTTTTACCAAACAAAGCATGCCCCTAGAAAAGTTAATCCATTTAACTAACCGGTCTGAGTGGTAATGTTTCAAGATGGGTATTCATAGTCATAATTTCTTAACAGGCTCCTTATTCATAGTCCTTATCTATTGAGCTAGGAGATTTAGAATCTGACACTATTTATACAAGAAAAGGCATCTGTGATGCCAGTGTGAAGAGAAAATCCAGTTTAAGTCATGAGAATTTTTGCTTTTATTGGATTTAAAAGAAGGTTGTAAAGAAACTTTAAACTGCAATATATAAAGAAATAATTTAAAGAAAAGTTCTTTAAAAGTAGTAGTCAATGTTAGCAGGTACCCCTTATGATTAATTTATATAAAATTTTCTCCTCGCGTTTTAGCTACACCAAAAAAGAAAAAAAAAAAAGAATTGGCTTCTAGGAAAAGTAAAAATGTAAAATGGATACCAAGCTGGGGGCAAACAATCCCCTTTCTAGTGTAGTATAGATTTCTCATTTGAGCACTAAGCACATTTGAGTTCACAAGGATTTTGATAAAATGAAGGGTTTTGTGCAAAATGTTTTCTCCATTCATCGGGCTGTTCCTTTACTTGTCCTTTCTTGTTTTCCAGATTTGTATCAACATATTTGCTTGTTTCTATTCTCCAAATTGCTAGCACATCCTTTCTAGCCTCTGAATTTACAGTTTGGAAGTTACTAATCAATGCTTCGGTTTAAAGCCCAGAATACACCAATTTTCCATCTCTTCTTTTGTCAGTTTCACAGACCTACAACCAAGTTACCTTGGCCTAAGGAAGCAGTCCATTAAACCCCTTTAATACCTCTAATACTACCAATGCAAAATCCAATTTTTTTTCCCCTGCAACCAGAAATTAGCAATGAAACTCCAGAACTCTGACTGCTCAATTGCCTCCTAACCTCAGTTATTACAAACCATGAGCATGGGCAACATTTTCATAATCCAATGAAGTTCAAGTGAAGATGCCTTTACCAGGAAATCACTTTTACTTCTAGATCTTTTTTTTTTGGAATAATTGTGAAGACGGATTTGTTTCACTGGCAAGAATAAATTTATATGTAATAAACTAATACCATAACACCGGAACTCAGGTCGAAATGTTGCAATTCAGTTCTCACATCTATTAAAAGTACACTTATTAATCTCGGATAGCAGCGCGTAGCGGCTGACCCTCGAAACTGCTATAACGCTATAGCGGATAGCGCTACAATGCTACTGTGCAAAGTGTACCTAAGTGATACACTAAATTGTACTCCACAAATATAAAACTTAAAATATGAAAACGTGACATAAAAAACAAATTTGAAGGATCTCAAACGAACATAAATGATTTTAATCATTAAAATTCAAATCATAAGCAAATTGAAGGAATTAAAGTCACAAATAACGTAACACGACAAAATAAAGTGGCAAAATTATTCAAAATTCAAACTGCCACTTAAGTGAAATGTCAAAATCAAAGAACATAAGGAACTAATCATAATTACAATCATGAACATCTAAATCTTCATCTTCACTTTCACTTGTATCTAAGTTGTAAATCTCTTCTTTCTATGACAGAAAACTTTTGCAGAAACTATTGTAGCAGCACAATAGCACCTCAATTCAGCCGCAATAGCTGCTGCTACATCCACTACACTTCGCCTGAGCGTCGCGGCACGGTCTGTGGCGGCCGGCCGCTACACCGCAACGCAACTCCGCTACAGGGCGCTAAAGCGGGGCTATTCACAAGTATGATTAAAAGTTCTAATTCATTCGTCAACTGTCACTTCCCTTAACATTTTGAACACTAACTTCTAGGCAGAAGGCTTGCGTTTCATGATTTATTCATAATATTTCAAAAACGAATTTTAGTTTTCATTTTTTGAACCTCAACATATTGTCACAAACAAAGTCCGTTTGATAAATGCGAATTCAAATAAAGGACTGAAATTCGCATCGATCAGCGAGTTGAATTGGAAGAGAGCATATGATGCAGGAACGAGACAAAAAGAAGAACCTCAACCTCATCGTTGGATGATCTAGCGCGAATGAATTGATGACTGGAGCTATCAACGAAGAAGACGGAACCAGAAGCCTCACCCTGCAAAAACACACACAACCGAATCAAACAAATAAATGTCAGATCGAAACCGCCATCAATTGCGCACGGGCTGACGCAATTGAAGAGAGGAGAGAGAGAGAGAGAGAGAAACAAACCCTAGATTGAGAAGAGAAGAGAGAGAAGATGACGAGCAGGCTCCAAATGATGGAAACGCGAAACTCCATCGCAGAGAGAGAGAGAGAGAGAGAGAGAGATCTAGAGGTTCCACTTCAGCTAACTACTTCGTTATTTCTCGCAAAAGATCGCACTGTGGAGAAAGATGCTCATTTGGGCTTTTATATTACTTGGGCTATGAGATGATTATATTTGAGGCCCATGCGTCAAAGGAAAGAAAGGAATCTCGATTAGACCATACCACCAGTGGGCCTGGAAAAGGGAGCCTTTTAAGGGCCCGATAACCTTTGAAGATAGGAAGCTATTTTCGATTACCATATGTTCGGTTTCGATTAATTTTAGAAAAAATAGGTTATTTTCTTAAAAACATTTTTGGAATATTTTCATCGTGGGAACAAATTATATCAAAACAGTGCATAGGTTTGCCATAATTTATCTACGGAAATTCCATTAACGAAATAATATGTGAATAACTGTTGGCTTTCTCCTTTAATGCTAAGCCCAAGCCCATTGAGGGGTTTTCTAAAAACTCTAAACCTATTTCACCTCCTCTATATATATTCATTAGTTGTGGGTGGAGACTAAGTTAAGATGAAAAAAAATATTTGAGACTCTTGAGTGATACTTGAGAGATTTGAGAGCAAAGCTTTAAGCTTTGTGTTTGAGAGATATTTAGAAAGAGTTTGAGTGAAACATTATTTTCATAGTGGACGTTTGATTTGGACTAGGTCCCGTGGATTTTTACTTCTTCATTGGAGAAGGTTTTTCCACGTTAAAATCTGCTTGTATTCTTCTTCTCTCTCCTGTTTACGTTTTTGATTTTTCGCTGCGCTGCCCGACCTGGTGAAGTTCAGGCTGAGGAAATTGCTGAGATCTAGGATCTCATTGACTGACTTCCGCAAAAAGCTGTTTAGTCGACTTGAGGGAACCGAGTTCCCAACAATAACGTCATTGTAATTTGTAAGCCCTTTATGTGAAAATCCTTCTAATTTTATATGTCAATATTTGAAATGGACTTTTGTTGGTCGAAAAAGTCCATCACTAAATATCTGCACAAGTTTTAATTTTTAAGTTGATTATGAAATTAATTTTGAATTGGGATTTAGTCACATTTAAAGCTTCTCACCCCAAAAATGTATTTAATGAAAATTAAACTCAAGTTCTCTCTCTAAACCTGTATTGCCAACGGTAACACCATTTTTCTAAAGTGTCTTCAAATTCACACTTTTATTTTTGAATCGTGTTTAATTAGTGGAAGAAACACCATTCAGGAAGGCAAAACGGTCATCATTGCTCGGCGCTTTCCTTCGAACGTGGTAGAAATCATTAAGGTTAATATATAGAAAAATTAAGTAATCGAATATTAATCCAAAATTGAAAAGTAAATATAGCCAAGTAGCCGAATAAATTAAGTAAGGGAAAAATGTGTGTCATTTTAAAGGATGTAAAATTATGTCATTTTAAGTGAGAGAAAGAGATAGATCATGTGGGAGATAGAGTGGACAAAAAAAAAGTAAAAGGTATGGGTCCCACCTCTTTGTGAGAGCGAAATGACATAAGTTATGTCATTTAAAAGGACAAACATTTTTCCTATTAAGTAATTGCATACCGGTTCAGAATTAAAGTTTAGGGATAAAAGATATTTTTGGATGCAGAATGAGTATTTAGAAACGAATAAAAACTTAGATGCCACTGTTACAAATAGATGTTATTTATTCTTTGATTTTATCTTTAAATTTGTTAGAGGCGAAAAGAATGACTTGTTAGAGATGGAAAATGTCTATCCATCTCTGTTCAGAAGTGAACATCAACAGTAGGTTAAGTATTTGAGATATGTTCATGATGGATATGCTCTGATGAGATAAACCTAAGCGAGTGTATATGCTCTGTATGAATGGATGAAAGAAATAAACTAATCTCCTTTCCTTTGGTACTATCAGTGTATATATAATGGTTTTCATGGGCGGTTAAGGAGGAGGATCATGGATATGAAGCAGTTCCTTTAGTGGTGATCATGGTAGTTATGGAGAAGAGTAATATCATGGGATCAACGATTGGGCTCAAAGAGAGTCCTAAATCGGGAAGAGGGCATAAGTTGAAAAGAGGCCGAAGTCGGATAATGAGTTAAACCTGGAGCTAGGGTTAAACCCAGAACAATCTCTGATTTTAATTTTTCTAATAGCTTTTGGGTCTAGTCATGATAAACTTTATGTTGTAGGTTTAAGAATTGAAATGAGAAGTGATTTAAAAATAGGCTAAATTTTATAAAACCACCTAACTTGAAGTTGTTGTTAGAGGAGAAGGCCTTGTGGATAGGGGTGTTAACGAGCGGAGCCGAGCCGGGCTTTGGTCTTAAAAGGTTAGGTTTGTGTTTAAATGTACTAGTCTTACCGAACCTGTTACCTGTTATGAATATAATTTTTGGCCTCTGACCTGACTTATTTACAAAAAATAAAAACCTGATTTAGCCTATTAGCCTATTTTAAAAAAACAAGACAACCAAAATTTATCCAAATAAAATATACGATCCACAACACTAATAATTCCACAAAGATTCATAAATTCAATGTATATCCAAATAGTATAATGTAGAACAAAACCATTCAAAAATTCTATTTAACCAATAAAATAGGATGAAATGGATTGAGGAGAAAGAAGTCTATTGTGAATATTATAAAAAATATAAAATAAAAATAAAAGTTAATATACTAGGTCAGCCTAAGAGGTTCCAAGGCTGAGCTTTTGAATTGGAGGCTGAAGTCTTTTTATTAAACAAGCTTTTATACAAGTTCAAGCCTGGTTTCAATAACCAATTTTAGACATGTAAACTCAGGCCTTTACGAGCCAAGCCAAATGCTCCTGGTTCGTTTAGCACCCCTACTTGTGGATGCTTATGTGAGGTAGTCACTTAAATTTGAAGTGTGTAGAAGTGCTCCGGCAAAATGATAAAGGTGGAAATGAGCTCCAACGGGATCAACGACTAAGAAAGAGGAGTGAAATCGTGACATTGGTGTAAAACCAATGCACTTAAAATGAAGAGTTCATTTATACAAGAGTTTTGATGATAACAAACAAGCTTAGAAGCGACGTCAAAGATAATACAACTTGCAACAATCAAAAGTCCAAGGAAGCAATTCAACAAGACAACAAGAGCAAATCATTCAACACACATGATCAAGATCAAAGATCAATATTGTAATATATCCTTGAGAGATTAGATCTAAAATGTAAAGGTAATTGATTAATGATGCATAAATGAGCTCAAAGAATATTTAACTCTATGCATGCATTATCCATGACATCAATTTCTTGAAAGCTTTAAGATTTATGAAAAAGACCCTTGACATATTTCGTAACCTCAAAACATTTTCGACAAGTCAAGGAATTACATTAAAAGTAATTAGAGGCAAGAAACAATGCTTTACAACTCGAAAAACTGCACCATTGATGCTCTGTCAAGAAAGTATTTGAATACTTTCTTGACTGTATTCGAATACTTGTGTTGTGAACAAAGTATTCGAATACCTTAAGAAAAGTATTCGAATACCTGATGGAGTATTCGAATACTTCACGAAAAGTATTCGAATACTTACTGGGAAGTAAGCAGTCTAACGGTTATAAACGACTAGTTTCGTGCCAACACCTATATAAACTCATTTATTACAAATCAGCAAGCCAAGATTTACTGTTCCATTGATTTTGCAATCATTATTGATCATTCTCATTGAATCAAACTCATTCATTACTTGTTCTTACTTATATTGATCATAAAACTCCTTTGAGCTTCATTCTTGTGTCATTGATCAATACCCATAAGCTTCAACTTGTATAATCTGTACTTCAAGAGTACAAATCCATTTCTAAACACTCTCATTCTGTTTATTTGAGTTGAGGGTAGTGAGACCCTAGTGAAAATGTTGCTCATAGCCTAAGAAAGTGAGTGGAAGCAGTGTAAAGGTTTCAAGAACCAAAATTCTTGAAGGTTGTAGTGGTTTGTCAAGCACCCTTGAAGCTTGATAATTAGTGAAAAGTTGAACGAGCGGCTTCAATCTGGACGTAGGTCATGATGGTGGTGACTGAACCAGGCTATATCGTGTTTGCAATCTCTCTAACTCTTTGCCTCTTTACATAAGCATTATTTGAATACTTGAGCTTATTTAACTTTACACTTAACATAGTACTTGCTTGTACTGATTTCTATTCCTTAAGCTTTGCTTATGTAAAAATCATATTAACTCAAGAAAATCTTTTTCAAGAAAGAAAGTGAGACATTTTGTGAAAATATTTTTAAAAATCAATTCACCTCTCTCTTGAGTTTGAGGCCACTTGTCCAACAATTGGGAGACCCATCTTCCACTCCATGACCTGATCATCATAGTAGTTAGTCACTCATCTTTACCTCTTCCCCCATTCACGTTGCAACAGTGAAAATTATACCATGCCTTTTTCTTTCAATGGTTTAGGTATTGGATTAGGACCCTAAAATCAAAATAAGAACAAATGGAGGGATAAGAAATGAAAACAGATAGATAATAACAAAGATTAAGGAACAAATTTGGATGGAAATAGAAACTATAACATAATGTAGTGGATATTTGGATGTTGTGGTTGGGCAAAAAGAAAGTGATGAAGGAAGTAAGACAATAAGAAATGAATGAAATAATGATTCAGCAGACGATGGCTGATAATTAGAGGTGATGAGTAATGGTCAACAACAAAGACAAAAATTGGTGATGACGAAAGATAGTTAGAGCAACGATGGTTGGTGTTGGGATGAGCATAAGGATATTTTTATTGGTGAGTCCAACATCTCGAAGTGGGTTGGAGTTAGATCGAATCATATTGCTTAGGCTGGTAGATGTAAGTATAAAGAGTTGCACAATGACTAACAATTATAAATTTTGGACTAGTGGTAAGCGATCAACCCAATATTTTTGGTCTTAAATTTATTAAATATGTTTAATTGTTATGAGTTGATAGTGAAAGGGGATTAATTATTTGAATTGAAATTGTAGGATGATTTTCAAAAAATGACCTAAAGTGTGGTTCATAGGGGTGGTAAAATGTGTCATAACGCATTGGTTGACCCACAAAACGATATATCAAAATACAGGTCGTATCGATCCATGTGATAAAATGAATCTTATGCAAGTTTAGATAAATGATATGAATTAATGTCGTGTTGTGGATTAGCCCGCGTTTTGTCAAAAAATTAAAAAAATAAATAAATTTTGGTGTTATTCATGTACTCAAGTGTGGGTCACGATCGGGTCAACCCTCTTATTTAATTCAAATTTTTCCTTTTATTTTTATTTTTTTTAGAAAAATGAAATTTTTAATTTTGTTAGGTCAACCCATGTCACCCGTAACCTGTAACCCTGTACGGATTGGACAATTTAACTCGCGGGTCAGACTTGACCCACACGAACCCGACCCTCCGACCCCTTTTGTCAACCATAATGGTTCAATATAATTTTCCCTTAAATATATTAAGGAGCAGGATATTCTTACACTATTGTAAGAATAATAAATTTTACACCAAATTTTGGTCATTTATTTGCTTGCATCCAAGTGATCTAAATGTTGAAATATTTAATAAATCAAAACCATTATGTATAAATAGTATCTACGATATCAAGGTTAAGAGTGTAACTTAAACCGGTGTAAAAAGATCTTGAACCAAATATTTATATTTGATAACAAAAATTTCGTCTAAAAAGAAGTGCTTTTGAAAAAGGGAAATTATTTCTGCAGTTATTACAGAAATAATTTGTCTGCCACAGACACAAAAATAAGCTAGCTTTTGAGGTGGTAAATCTCAAGGTTCTTATTGATTTCTCCCTTAAGCTCTTATCTATGTATCCAAAAAAAAAAAAAGAGAGAAAGGAAGACTATAAAGACATAAGAGAGTTTTATTAAAAAAAAAGACATAAGAGAGAAAAAATTGACGGAGGCCACTCCTTTTTTATTGTGTCCGTGACAAACAAATTATCTACAAAAATAGTTTTCCTTTTTGAAAATTTTGGATATATGATAATTAGGAAATAGAAGTTTTATGTTACATGACACAACTTCTTTTTTCCATTAAATTAAAAAATAGGTTAGATAATATTTAAAATAATAGGTATTAATTATTATTATTATTATTTTACAATTAAGTAGTATTTTATTTGTTACTAAACTCCTGTTATATTCAATTTTTTTTTATCGTAGCACTCTCTAGAAAAAATGAAGAATAAAAATTTTATTTATGACAAATGTTATCTATATATGGAGACAAATGAGTTCCTAAAGAATGTTGAACTAAATATTAGTATACATGTAAGATTAGGATTAGAAAAAGTTAACGGGTTGGTGGGTTAACCTACTATAAAACAAAATGAGTTCATTTTTTAACCCATATTCAACGACAGATCAACCTGCTCTGTTCCATTTTTGGCTGGTCGGGATAGGCCAACCCGTATTGATATCTATATTATGATCAGTGATATTGCAATTCTCGGATTTTGGGAGTTTTTCTGTCATCATTTTTTTTCTTCTAATTATTCGATTTATAAATATGTTTTGATCACTTGTTGAAATTATAGAATTAATTTTTTTCCTTTTATTTATTACCTTTTTCGTAATTTCCAATGTAAGTATAGCCTGCATTTACTACTGTTTTAAAGAAAAATAATTTTAAATTTATTATTTTCATTTCTCTATTATTACTTAAATGATTTTTTTTCATAACAATACTTACCCTGATATTTTGATTTTATTTTCTAATTTCACTATTCCTTTATTCCCTGTAAAATTTAACAAGATTTTAAAAAAGTAATTATCAACAGTATTTTGTTAATGAATATAGATATATTAGTAATTATTGGCATGATATAAATGTTTTAGACCGGTCATTTATGCTTAGGAGTGTAAGAATTTATTAGTTAAGAAACATTTAATATTATCTATTACAAATATACTTTTAGCTATTTAAGAAGAGAGTAATAAATTTTTTAAATTCCTAATATGTTAAAGATTTTATTTGATGGGTTTATTGTTTCTCTTGTCAAGAGATAAATTATCTCCTGCAACCTCAAAACTACGTTGTTTTAGTATTAGGAAATTAATGAAGAATATTTCAGTACCTTTATTTGTTTTTTATTATATGAATTTTACCAAAACACTTTTATTAATTTCCCTAACCCTAAAAAAAATGTAATTTAGGGGTTGCAATATATAACCTTTTTTTTTTTGGTAAAATGCAATAGATAACTTTTTTTTTTTTTTTTGGATAGACAATGCAATAGATAACTTTATCTCTTTTGGTAGGAGAAACATTAAACCTTTTTTTTATTTATTACTTTTATTTTTTCTTTTGTAATCAATGTCATAGTATACTCTTTATATGCATTAATTAAAATATAACGAGTGTTGATTAAAGCTTATTAGTTAAGAAACATTTAATATTATCTATTGCATACTTTTAATTATTTAAGAAGGGAGTAATATAATTACTTTTATAAATTCATAATCTATTTTTGATTATATATATAGGGAAAAAAGCATTTAATATTACTTTAGACAATTTTGTCTAATATTCACTGAAACGACATTGTTTTGTAGTTGAAAAATTAAAAAATTAGAATGATAAAAATTAATATATCCCTGAAATAAATTAAAATTATAAATACACCATGATTTCGTCCCAAAACAACGTTGTTTCGGTGAACATTAGACAAAATTATGTAAAGTAACTTAGAAAAAACCAACATATATATATATATAATTATATATATATGGGTTTACATTTCTGCAGCTGCTGTACGTGCAGTAATCAAATACTTGCCATATATATACTTAAAAGCATTAAATATGGGAAATCATAACTATACAAATGATGAAAGCATTAAATATGAGAAATCATAATCATATATCTGTCATTACTGTACGTAAAGCGGCGACAAAAATGATTTTATCATATATATATATATATGACATAAAGAAATATTTATCAAATTTTTAAATTAAAACTGTTTTTATAATCATGCATTTAAGGCACACATAAATGCGCACACGCATAGGCATAAATTAAACATACTTTTGTCCAGCCAATAACACAAAAAGGCTATCTGGCGATGAAAGTAAGTTCGAATTTTTCTTTTTCTTCCCATTATATGAACTCCACTCTACATCGTGCATTTTTTTGAAAACCACAAACCAGAAACCGAACCTGTTTCAATGGTTTTGTTTTTTAGTTTGATATTTTGCTAGTCCTCTCCGTTTTCCATGCATGCACTACAAGCGTCCATCTATTAGTCTTGGCCATAAATGGAAGGCTTGGTGTAAACTATCCGTTACATTGGACTTTTTGCAAAGAAACTCTTAAATGAAAACAATTTTTTTTTTCGCACTAAATATTCAATTTCCATAATTATTTTTTACCTTATTGACTTAGTTGTTACTTTGTTGGAGGGCATTGCTCTTAATTATGTGAGAAAATAAATTAAATGTTTCCTTCTCCATCACACAGAGGAATATAAGGAAAAATCAATGCAAGGAAGTAATGTCATTATTACTTTCACTTTTTTCGGGTTCTGCTTGCTTTGGCATGTGAATGCTAAGTAGCATATATAACCGCCCTAAGAATTCACAAACCTCCCGCACAGAAAAAGGGTAAAGGAAGAACAAAAAAAAAAAAGCTCTAGTTCTTGCAGCAGGTAGATTGAAAAATGGATTTGTCATTGGGAATGGGTAGTGGGTCTGGTGATGAACAAGATAATCAGAGCTTATACAAAGGAAAAAGATCCTCCCATCGTCATACTTCAGAACAAACAGCTAAGCTTGAAGAGTAAGATGACATTTGCTTGTGAACAATCTCTTTTATTTTTTTGTTTTATCAAAATTTCCGTTTGATAGTTTTGAGGGAGCATTGATCTTGTTTTTTGGGTGAAGCTATGATATGAAAGGGCTAATCTTGTGTCAATCCATACGGAGCAGATACCAAGATTGCCAATCGATACTCTTTGGAGAATTCTACACACACAAAGTTCAAGCTATATCATAAAATCTTTTTCGGATTTTGATCAAGTTCAATTAATGTATTTCTGTGCATTTAGGGTGAATTATTACTATTAGTTTTCTTTGTGTGGCTTGTTCTCTTTCAAGACATGGATTTTGCTTTGTTTAATGGTTTTAATTAAGGAAGTATTTTTGTTGATCAGCTTCTGTTCAATCGATCTTTGAATTTAAAGATCATCAATGGTTAATTTTCTACATTTTTATAAGTTTTGGGCTGCACTTCTCGATCCACACTTCTTTTATATATATATATATATATATATATATATATATATATATGAAAAAAACATTTATACAGTCAGTTTAGATAAGGTTATCTACAGCTATCCAAAAACTACGTCGTTTTGATTAATGAAGGGTGTTTCTGTAATTTTAGGTGAGTTAATTGAAGGGTATTTCAGTAAAATGTATATGATAAATAAATAAATAAAATTAAGAAAACAGCGTTCATTAATTCACCTAAAATTACAGAAACACCTTTAATTAATCAAAACAACATAGTTTTTGGATATATATATATATATATATATATATATATATATATATATATATATATATATGAGTCGCTTCTTTATGTTTATTTATTAATTAAATTTTTATTTTTATTTTTTATTTTTTCTTGAATATAATATGTTGTCAACAATTTCTAATGTCCTAACACCCCCCTCCCTCCCTTTTTTTCTAAACAAGGGATGTCCAACCCTTTAATATCGAATAACAATTACTTTTTTTTTGTTTTAAAAAAATCCCACTTAATTAGCAATAATTTTGCCTTTTTAAAAAAAACTTTTTTTAGCAGTATTATGTTGTCAATGTTTTATCGGATTTGACATAGGCCACTGCCTCTAAGAGAGCTTAAATTTTTTCTAATCAACTAGATCCCTTATGCACTAGGGATGACCCCTTATATATGCAACATACCAGCTTCTGCGCTGCATATACAAATCAGTCACAATCTTAAAATTAATTTATTATTTCGTATAAATTAAAAGATACATTCGATAAGTGTTAAATTAGGAAAATGAAATACATTTTTAGATATAGTTCCATGTACTTGTTGATTTCTCTATACTTTCACATTTATGTGTGCCATTTTGCTGATTGCATCATGTTTATATCATATCTTGACTTGTGTCTATTGTCCATAGACAATTGTATATGTTTCATATATAGCTTATATGTGTCATTTTCTTCTTCTTCATGTATTTGTTATTCAACTCATCTTGCAATTCCCTCTCACCTAATTGGGATCTTTATTTTCGAAATAAAGAATATTCAAAAAAATCCCACATCCTGACGATTACCAAAGGCGTCAAATAGCCAAAGAGCTTGGGCTTGACCCAAAACAAGTAAAGTTTTGGTTTCAGAATAAGAGAACCCAGAGAAAGGTGATATATTTAATTCTCTAGTTTGACACAAATTCTTTTACATGGCTTGCTAAGTAATTACACTGATTATTTAACATGTATGTTATGGTCTTAAGACTCTAAATGAGCGAGCAGATAACAATGCTCTTCGTGCTGAGAATGAAAGGATCAATAACGAGAACCTTGCATTGAGGGAGGCTTTGAAGAAAATAATTTGCCCATCTTGCGGTGGTCCACCTTGTGGAGATGAGCACGCCATCAAACATCTTCAGCTTCAAAATGCTCGTCTAAAAGAACAGGCTAGTTAACTAGTTTTATTCATTCTCTTTTAACACAAACCATTTATTTGAGGGTTTTTGAGGGTTTTATAAGAGTTATGTTGTAGGAAAAGTGATTGTGTAATGTTATAGAGATTCGTTTTGCGTGCCGTAGTTTTTTTTTTTTTTTGTTTAAAAAAGTGTGGACCTCACAAAATGTTGTGTGTGTAGAAAACTTTGTTGTGTTATGTTAAATGATAAATACAAACCTCTTTATTTGATTATTATTATTGTCATTATGACAAATGTTATACTTACTATCATTTTAAATTTTATTAATTCGAAATCAAATGTTAAACAAGAGAAAAAATTAACCATTAACGACAACCAAATATGTAATAAAAATGGCAAGTCTAAAATAGAAGTAAATATAACCACAGCCTATTATTATTATATATTATTATTTTTTTCTCTTTGATAAAAGGCTACAATATGATTCATATTTATTTATGAATTTCTTTTCAGCATGAGAAGGTGTCTATATTTCTTGCAAGGTTCATACAAAAACCGATTTCACATCCAGAGTTGCAGCTAGCTCCTCCTTCCGCAGGATCTTCATATGATTTATCACTAGGAAGTACTCCAAAATTAAGTGTTGATGGTAGTTTTCTGAATCTAGGTGTTGGTTCAACAAGTCTTTCATTTTCAGATGAAGACATGTTGCCACATGAAACGAACGAAAGGGAAGAATTGGAAAAAGCACTAATGTTTGAGATTGCAATATCTGCTAAGGAAGAGTTACTTAAGCTTTTGGACACTAATGAGCCTATATGGGTCAAGTCTTCAACTGATCGGAGATATATGCTTCATCCTGAAACCTATGAAATGGTCTTTCCTTTGGGTAGTCACTTCAAAACTTCCACTGCTCGTGTTGAATCTTCCAAAGATTCACGAATAGTGAGAATTAAGCCTATGCAATTAATTGACATGTTCTTAGATTCGGTTAGCATTTATAAACTTTATTATTTAATTTCCTACTCATTGCTTTTATTAATGAAAGATATATATATGTGTACTTATAAGGGTGTGTGGTTTTAATCTTTCAGGAAAAATGGATAAATCTTTTCCCTACAATTATTTCAAAAGCTCACACAATCAAAGTATTTGAAAGCGGGATGTCAGAGAATCGAAGTGGAGCTTTGCAATTGGTATATTTTCATATGAAAACCTTGCTCTATATATGTAATAAGTTTCTTTGTTATAATATTTTTTTGTTTTTGTTTTGGTAACATAATTAACTAAGTCAAGACTTTTTCTTCAGATGTATGAGGAGATGCATGTTCTTTCACCTATAGTGCCATCTCGGGAATTCTACTTCCTTCGCTATTGTCACCAGGTTGAAGCTGGTATATGGGTGATAGTTGATGTATCGTTTGATTACTTGAAAGAGGAAGACGACCCTTTCAACCCTCTTTCTCGCTCTTGGAGGTTTCCCTCGGGTTGCATGATTCACAAAATAGCTGATGGCTCAACCCAGGTTAGTACGTAGTTAAAATTAGTCATAAACATATAGTGTGCTAATATTATAATTTATGATCAAACACATGGTCTGAAAATAGATAATTCTAAGCCAGTAGAAGTGAACTAGGTAATTTGTTTAAGATAATTATTAGTTCGATCTTCAATACAATCATTGTGTGTATCTATATAATTCTTATATAACATTTTAAAGCAAAGTGCACATGTCAAATAATGCATGAACAAAATATTGTAAGTTTCTTCAGAAAATTTTGGTGTTGCTGCTTTTGTTCTACATTTTTAACATGCCCCTTTTAGTCTATAGTTCTTGAGAAAGATACATGAGCAACTTTGTCACTAACAACATCAAAAAGCAAAAGGAAAATTTTTATACTTACAATTAGGTTTTTCAAGAATGGGAAAAATATAAGCTTGATAGAAGGGAAAGGGAGGAAAGAGAAGGGAGAGGAAGGAAAAGTACAGAGTAATCCTGTGTTTACCTTGACTCTGATAAGTTATTATCTCATCCAACCGTTCAAGTTAATAAGTGATGAATTTTTAATAGTTTTATATTATATTTCTCTAGGATGTCCTTGTTTGGATGTTTAAGTCAAAATATGAGAGGAACTATTTCCCTTATTCTCATAATATATAGTCTCCACCATTAATTTGTAATGATGTGTTTGAGCCTCATTTGTTTCTCGTGGCTTTATACTGATCCTTACATGCTTCTCTTAATTTTGATGCTATTATAATGCTAACTAATAAAATAACCTTTTGTTATAAAATTATTATGTTTTTTTCTAGGTTACATGGGTTGAACATGTTGAACTGGATGAAAAGTTCCAAACGCATCGGCTGTATAGAGACCTTGTTAATAAAAGTATTGCGTATGGAGCAGAAAGATGGCTTATGGAGCTTCAAAGAATGTGTGAAAGATTAACAAGCGCCGCTGCTGAATACGTACCTAGTTATGATTCCGGAGGTGGTTACTCTTTATCTTCTTTACTTCAAACCATGTTGCTGCTCATTCATTTACTTTATCTTCTTTATCTATTATATGTGTGTTTATATATAGCTAATTCTATGGTCATATATATTCTCATTTTTCAGTGGTCACTATACCTGAAGGAAGGAGGAGTGTGATAAAACTTGCTCATAGAATGGTTAAGAATTTTTGTGAAATTTTAAACATGTCAAGCAAGATGGACTTCCCGCAACATTTAACTGAGGAGAGTAATAGTGGGGTTAGGATCGCTGTTCGCAAAAACACTGACCCAAATGGCCTGCCAAATGGCATGCTTGTTGTTACTGCTGCTAGCTCATTTTGGCTTCCATTCCCTTCACAGATTCTTTTTGATTTCTTCAAAGATGCTAGAGAACGTATCAAGGTTCACATACTAAACACTCCTTAGTTTATTGTAATATATTGCGCCTTGATTAACTTACACAGGTGTGAATGTTCTTATACTCATTCTTAGCGCCATTGATCTGCTTGTATCTAACGATTCATATATCTAATAAATTAGAACAGTTAAATATAAATAAGATCAATGATCAAGATTGAAAGTTTAATAATTTATATTTGTGTAAAATGATCTTGCCCTTAATATCTCCTCCTTGTGTATAAATTTTAACTTGATGTGCATTATAGAATCAACCACTCATTTGTTATTTTCTTTCAGTGGGATAATCTTTGTTCTGGGTATTCAATGCATGAGATTTCACACATCTCAAACGGAACTCATCCGAACAACTATGTAGCAATTATTCGGGTACGTACTTATCATATTTCTTTCTAAAAGAATATTTTAATAACCCCTTTGTTACATATATATAGGGTCATTTATTGCATTCTCTTAAGGTTTTTTAAATGGAAACAATGATTATTGCAATCCGAATGTCATATATATATATATATGCTGCATGTAGTATTGTGATCTATGAAAAATTGTCAAATTTATTATGAGTGGTATATGAGTAATTGCTTTTGGTATAAACATGATTAAACTGATCATTTTAACCATTCATGTGGAACAGTCATTGAACCCAAATGCGAACAATGTGTTTCTTCTTCAAGAATGTTTTATAGATCCATTGGGAGCATATGTTATATATGCTCCAGTTAAGGTACCAGACATAAATTTAGCTGTGAATGGTGGAGATTCATCAATGGTGTCAATTCTCCCATCAGGCATTGTCATCTCTGAAGATGCTCCATCTATTATAAATGCTCGAGCATCTAGTAGCAGTGGAAATAGTGGTAAAGGATCACCAAGAGGTTCACTGGTGACTGTGGCTTTCCAAATTCTGATGCCTAACCCAGCTGTAGTGAACATGGAATCTGTGGCTGGTGTTAATGCAATCATAACCTCAACAGTTCAAAACATTAAGGATGCTTTGATCAAAGACTCCGATTGAGGAGTAATCTTTTAGTACAATATGATGTTGGTTTTATATCTTGGTTTTTAATTAAGACAATATGACTCAAAGTTTTTGCTATCATTATAGTTGTTGACTTGTTGGCAGTTATTAAAACTTTATTATCTGCCATTATGCAGAATGATATTGGACAATATATAATATATGCTTTATCTTTTGTTTAATTTCTGTGTATCTTTTGTTTAATTTTTAGTCTTTGTCCTTGTGAGTTGTGATGCCAATTATAGGAATGCTATGCTTGATCAAGAGAAGCTTGCTATTTAGTGGATCTTATTTCATATATATTTGGATTTTGGGTTTAGGGATATTGGTGCAAAACTCTTTGATTCATGTGTATGCTTGTTGTATAGGGATATTCAAATTGCTAGGGTGCTCCTTGGCAACATGTTGACTCGAGATTTTTGTTCATGGTGTTCAATTGTTGATGGATATGTGACAATTGATATATAACTTAGATGTTTGCACATGCATTTGTTTGAGGTAATGCCTGATAGGAATTTGATTGTTTGGAATGTTACGATTAGTGGATATCGAAAGGCTAGAAACCCTTGTTATGCGTTGAAATTGTTCCTAGAAATCAACTATCTATTTTCCATCAAGAAGAATTCTTGAACGTATTCTTTCAAATTTAAACAAGCTTTTAAGCTAAAAAAATTATAAACTTATCTAGCAATTTTATTATTTTTATTTTTATTTTAAAGTAACTTTTAACCTATAAACAAAATTAAAAAAAAAAAACTGATCCAACGGCTCTCAATATAAAAAACGAAATTTGTCCAAAGAAGTGTTGTGGTGTTAGGACTTGTTTGATGTGATGTATAAGGCTTAATAGTATAAGCTTATATTATACGTTATGACATTTTCAGTTGTTTGGTATGACCATCATATATACAGCTTATAGAACATAACTCCTTAATACATCAAAATGTTGTATAACTTAATCAGGCTTAAGGGAGTGAAATTAGGCCTGATAAGGGGTTAATATTATCAAATCAAAATTAAGAAAAACAATTTTTTTATCATTTAAATTAATAATTATTGATGGGCAAGGAGTAGGGTTGGACCCAGCTCGACTCAGTCCAATCCGTGTGTAACTCGAAAAAAATTAACTGAGTTAGGATTGACTCAAAAAAAAAAAGAATCAGAAAATTCAACCCAACTCAACCCAAACCTGGTTAGGGTTAGTTCATGGGTTTTCTTGAAAAAAGAAGAAAAAGCAATTGTTCGGGCTGTTTCTATTGGACGAATGGATTCGAGGAAACCCAAATCATAACCTCTTCGGCCCAATTCTTCCTTGTTATTCCTTTGGTAACCTGGCTGTTGCTATTGGACTAATGGATTCGGGCTGGGTTATAATATCAACCATTGGGAATAGGGGCCTGCACCTTCACAGCCAACACCTAAAGAAAAGGATGATGATGAGGATGGGTAGACAGAGGATTATGATATAGGTTATTGAACATAAATATTTGGTCAGTTTTATTTTTTTATTTATATTGACAACTTGAAAATTTGTAACAACAACTTAAATAATACTTTTCATGTTTTATTTATATTGAAAACTATGCATTTTGATTAAAAATTTGTGTTGTTTTTAGCATTTTTTGTTGCTGTTACTACTAGAAATATACATATTTTTGACAAAAATTTTTCGTTCAAAAATTTGACGAAATTTTTTCCATCAAAAACCTTACTTTTTCATCAATAAATAAAGTCATGACATAATATTAAAATAATAAATTTTATTGAAAATTTCAACAGAAAATATTTCAGTCTAAAAATTCTGTCTCAATTGGCAACGGAATTTAGCAACAATTCCGTCAAAAATTTGGACGGAATTAATTTCCGTTGAAAAGATTCGTCACAGTTTGCAACGAAAAAATATCTTTGTCAAAAATTTCGTTCCAGTTTGCAATGGAATTTATCTATAATTTCGTCGATAATTTCAACAGAAAATAATTTTGTCGAAAAGTTCCGTTACAATTTGCAACAGAATTTATCTATAATTTCGTCAAAAATTTCAACGGAATGAAATTCCGTTGAAAATTCTTAACAATTTTGCAACAAAATATATATAGAATCTCGTCAAAAATAATATTTTTAATTTATTAAAAAACATTAATTTCATATGGATTTTAATTCAACAAATACAGACTAGTGTTCCTGATAAACATGGATTTTAATATACATCCAAACTATCATCAATGACCAAAAACACTTTATATAATGAAAAATATGAATATATGATAATTTCATAGAGATAATACATATCCAAAGTAACATTAACTACCCAAAAATACGATACATAATGAAAAGTACAATACACATCCAAACTAACATCAAAACATCATAAATAATGAATAGTGCTAAATCCATACAAGTCAATATCACATATACAAATAAATAATAATCTTAAAGGCACAACGTGTGAAAAAGTGACATTTGTATAAAAAAAAGACATCAATCCTCCCCATGATCTTCACCAAGTTGTTCATTTTTATTGTTAGGGTCTTGGGTTAGTGCTAGTGCCTCGTTGCTATCCACCTGATATTGAGATTCTAAGTAGCTAGGACTATACAATAGTGTTTGTGGGATCCTGCGCATCATATCATGCATCTCTCGCATTTTCTTTTGTATTACTTCTATTGTGGTCTGAGAGCGTGCAAGTCGGCTCTCAGATTGTGCAAGTTGAACCTTAATAGATGTACTCTCGTTAGTTAGTTGTGTAACCACCTCGTGTATCCTATGAGTTTTTTACTGTGAGACTCCAAATGGTGCTGTGTTGAATAGATGTGATTTTTTTATAAGTATCCACTTCAAATCCTAAACCATAAATCCTTCCTTTCTTGTCTTGCCCTCCGACCGCCTCCACAAATAGGTCAATATCTGAAGCTGGACCGCTACCTTCCTTATTTGATGTGGCCTGAATCTGCCTTTTCTCCCTCAGCCTTGTGTAGGTGTCCTACAAAGTATGCGTAATAGATAAAAGTAATTACCAAATGGTGGTAGCTCAGTTGGTGTATGGGAGCTGAGCAGGTGGGGAGAGAGCATGTGTTCGAATCCTCCCAGTACCACCTTTGGAAGGGGTTTAAAGCCTTAATCCTGGACCCGCCCCGAATCGGATTAGTTGCGAAGCGATGAACCGATTGGAATATTTCCAAAAAAAAAATAGATAAAAGTAATTTGTTATCATCAATCCCAAACACAGTACATAAAAAACAAACTTTTTACATGCAATTTCAATCCCAAACAAAATATATAAAAAACAAACAATTGTATTCTTTTGTTCATGTTAATTTTTTTATTGGTTCTTCATCGGAATTATCGTTATAGATTAATTTTTGTTATTAAAACATATACTAAAAAATTGGTTAGACGCTATTATGTTCCTTCAATATTCTACATAGATCATTTGTACTTTTCATTTTTGTCATTTCTTAATTTTAAATATATTGTATGTTATCGTATGAAAGTGTTTGTGACTATCGAAAATCAAGTGTCTGTGGAATGAGTTTGTTGGGTACGTGGCAGTTTGCATGTTAGACTACTAGCATGAAATGAGGAACAGTGACTAAAGTGTCATTGTTGAAAAAAAAAACACCAAAATGTCACGCTAACATTAAATTTTGTCAAAATATCACGTGGCATATTTCGCTACACTGTGTAGCAAAATATGTGTGCAAATAATTCGCTACACGGTGTAGCGAATATGCCGCGTCAAAATGTACAGAACCAAAAATGTCACGTGTCAGATAGAGAGAATTTCGCTACACTGTGTAGCGAAATTCTCCTTGTCTGACACGTGGCATTTTTGGTTCTGACGTGGCATATTTCGCTACACCGTGTAACGAAATATTTGCACACGTATTTCGCTACACAGTGTAGCAAAATATGCCACTTAATATTTTGGCAAAATTTACTGTTTGCGTACTATTTTAGTTTTTTTTTTGCCAATAATAACACTTTGACCACTGTCCCATGAAATGAAGTGTCTTTGGAGCTTTATAATTTTTTTTTACTATAACTTTCTGACCACAACAAATGAATGGAAAGGTGAATAGAAAAGTACTAAAAACAAATGGGTGTTCATATTTTACTTAGTCATTTACTTTCATTAAATTCCATGAAATAATTAAATAAGATAAAGTAAACATTATCTTTAGGTAGTATTTGGTTGAAGGTTTATTTTGGGATTGATGAGAAAGTGTAAGTGGATATTGGAAAATACCACGTTTGGTTCAGGTTTTTTCAAAAAATACCAGGCAAATAGGATAGATGGGAAAATGACTTTTGTGTTGATTTTTGGATGAAATTCACTGTTACAGAATACCACTTGAGATGTTTTTTTTTGAGATAACTGGGGAAGTGAAAAACAGGTGCAAAGTTTCTCCCGAACATAGATTTTGCATATTTAAATAAATTTCCCTGGTAATATTTGGGTCAACCAAACAACTTTTTTTACATTTTCCTACCGAACTCACTTTCCAACCATTTCCCTATCAATTACATTTCTCTAGTAAAAAAAAATTTCTCCCGAACCAAACACTAGAAAGAAGAAAGAAGGCTATGCTTCTTGACAGGTCATTAAGTAATAACCACTAAAGCATGAGTAGGCAACACTATTCAAATTTATTTACAAGTCAAATTGCGAAAGAACTCGTAACAGTTGATCCTGAGGGGCGTTTGGTTGAGGAGAAATTTTTTGAATACTAGGAAAATGTAATTGATAGGGAAATGGTTGAAAAATAAGTTTGATAGGAAAATGTAAAAAAAGTTGTTTGGTTGGATAAAAAATTTACTAGGAAAATTGAGAGAAATTATTGAATGTGTGTTTGGTTGAAGATAAAATATTGATGGGAAAACTTAATCAAATTACAAAATTATCCTTTTAAAAATAACCATGTAGGACCAATTGTAATGGGTAATTGTGTCACTTTATAAATCACTTTATTAACTTCTCTGATTTTTCACACAAATAC